TTTTCTTAAAAAATAGTTTTCAATTGGAAGTTCTTATTAGATCTTGACTCTGGCAAGTCTTTTTGCTTTTTTGGTTTGGTTTGACTTTTCACTTGGTTCTCCAGAATTTTGTTGGATTATCCGTTGCTGATGGTTATATAGCTTGTGGTTCGGAGACAAATGAGGTATTAACTTAAGCTGGGTTTTCTTCAGCTTTTTGTGGGCAGGGAATGAGGGATCTAATATCACTTAACAAATGCATTATCTTTCTTTCGACTCAAGGCATTAACTTATTGAAATGTCATGTCCAGGTCTATGCTTACTATAGATCAATGTCTATGCCAATAACGTCGCACAAATTTGGTTCCATTGATCCTATTTCTGGCAAGAGACTGATGACGTCAACGGGCTGTTTGTATCAAGTGTTTGCTGGAGAGGGAAATCGGACATGGCTGTTGCTGCAAGTTCTAGTGGATGTATTAAAGTATTGCAGATGGTTTAAGGAGAAGGTTAATTGCTAAGTATCATCAATCACTGGCGTCATTTTTGGAATCTGAGGGTTCTGGAGGCCATCTTGGGGTTCAGGCAAATATGCCATGCATGGATGACTCGGTCTTCTCGGTGGCCCGTTGTAATAGGCTTTGGTGCATAGTTTATTCTATGCGGAGTAATGTGAAGCCGAGCTGGAGTTATGACTCCAGATTATCAAAATTAGCTAGAATCAGATTCCAGTTAAACCTTTTACAGGCTTAAGAATCCGGAATATCACACGCCTCCAGGGTGTTGAGATAGGGAATGGAATTAAAACCAGAAATATCGAATGCGAAATCGAGATTGAGATAACTCTTGTATAAGAGGCTTTCCATCATGGTGGTTGGAGAAAGTGGTATTAGCATGCCTTACTTCTGTTATTGATCCTTGAAACAAATGTGAAGCCCTTATAAGTTTTTTTTAATAATATAAATATAGAGCTTATAGGTATAATTGATGATTTTACTCAGATTCTAGGGAAGTTCTTCATTGAGATGTAACTAAGCATTCTATCACATTCTATGTAACTGATATTTTTACCTCTGTAAATCTGTATTTTTTTATGTGATGATTTGGCTTTTAATATCATCGTGCAGCAATAAGTTGTATATCTTTCTATCTAGGGATGGGCACGGGTGGAGCGGGACAGGTTTCTGGCCGCCCGATCTCGACTTGAAAATTTTATTAATGTCTAACTTGGACCTGTCCATAATTTTTACATTTTTTTTGCCTTGAACCTGTCTCGATTTGTAGACTCGACTCGAATATATTAATATTTTAAAAGTTAAAATAATATATTTTATAATAATATATTTATAATCATTTATTATATTTTAATTTATTAAAATAATTTTTTTATAATAATACTATATTTTTAATAATTAAATAATAAATTAAAAATAAAATATTTAAAATTTTAAATATATTATATATTTTTTATCGTGTCAAGTCAGGTTAATGATTTTTCATCTTAAATCCATGCCCGTCTCGGCCCGAACCTACTTAGTATATAACTCCTCGCTTCACCCTGAATCCTAAAAATTCAAAAATAATCCGCCCTTATAAAATCAGATTAGATCAAAACTCGTCGATTCAATTATTTTAGCCATCCCTATTTCTATCTTAACTTCAAGTAATCCAAAGCATTGCGTGCCGAGGAATAATGCATCATACACTGCTATTCGGAAGCAAATATCCTGTAAAAAGAGTTTATTGAGCCGCCTAGTGATGTTTTCTTTAAAAGTATTAGATTTTATCAATTACATTTGTAGGATGGGTATATTATTAATGATTAAAAAAAACATGCGCAAAAGGGTCACCTTTGCCTCTATTGTAGACTAAATTTTTCATTTTTGCTCATATCATATTTTCGTATCAATTTAATCTACTAAGTTGTTTAATTGCATCAATCTATATCATACCCTTAATTTAAAACCCTAAATTAATAACCCTAAACTATAACATCTAAACCTTAAACCTTTAACTTAAAGCCCTCAGTTTAGGGTTTTAAGTTAGAGGTTCTATGTAGAATGATGCAATTAAACAACTTCAAGGGCTAAATTGTTGCCAAAATACGATAGGGGCGAAAATGATAAATTGGATTCACTACAGGGGCAAAGATGACCCTTCCACCGTAAGAAAATTTAAAATAGATACTACATTATTTTCAGGGTTAATGATTAAGAAAATTTAAAATAGATACTTGTAATCATGTTTAAAACTATTCTACTTATTGCATTTAATTCTCCCCATGCTTATGTCCTATATTCAATGCATCGGCTGCTTAGTTTAAGATGAGAATGCAAAATCATAATCTGGCATTGAAGTTTCAAACACAGTTGAGATGAAACCAAAAACAAATTCGGTTCCATTGGATGTACCTAATTCTATCTTTAACATTTGTTTTTTGTGGGATCAGACCCTACTTATTAAATTCTAAGCTTCTGAACCCATTTTATTAATGTATTAAACTGTCATATTTTAGTATGAAAGAATTACCAAAGTCTTTGTGAGTTGTAATTAACTTGAACATGGGAGATTATCATTGAATGAAGGGCTTCTAACACCCCTTTAGAGTCCTTAGATGACTTCATCAACCACGAATACAATTATATATGTATGAAGATTTGAATTTGAATTTATATACCGAACATTGTTATAAATATATTAAGAAATTCGAATTTCTAACCATAACTTTAACGTGGAACGTAGGTCCATGATCTGACGATGACTCAAAATCAAGTTTTATCCTTCAAAGCATATTTTTGACTAAATTAATTAGGATAAATTATATTAGTAGTCAATGAACTTTTAGGATGTTTTCTTTTTGATAATCAAACTTTTAATTCGCTTTTATTACAGTCACTATCATTAGTCGTTAAATATTTTTCCTTAAAAAAACTAATTTTCCAAATTGACAATCGTTGCAAAAGTTGAACTTCCAATGAAGGGAATAGTCGTTGATTAATCTCAACAATGAAAAGGTTTCGTTCGACCAAAATATTAACATAGATTTATTTTAGGTTGATATAACGCTCAATAGTGTCGGGTCAAATAATTTTAGTTTTTAGTTTCTGTCGGAGCATCACTCTTTCATTGTCGTTTCTATTGTTGTTCAGTGGTTCCTCCGGATGAAAAGATCATCAAACTACTACTATGTTTCTTCTTTTTCTTTCATTAAGTTCAAACTTGTTGGAAAACCTTTCAATCTCCTCAAGCACTAAGTAAATCTTAATCAAAATTAAAAGTTAAAACTTTCTGATCTACCATTGTCAACCATCAGATTAGCTTGAAACTAAACTATGTTAATCTTTTAGCCGAATGAATCCTTCCCACAATTGGGATTTGATCGGCGACCCCTTCGTTCATCCAGAATTTTGCCTTGGTGGAGGCTGCAAATTTGAAACTTGAAGAGTTTTTTTAGGGGGAAAATACATTAACGTACCATATCAGCTCTCTTAACGGCAATTAATGACAGTGACCATAATGAAAATGAATTACAAGTTTTAAAAGTTTAGTGATAAGAAAATGAATGTGCCTTAAAAGTTCAATGTCTAGTAGTGTAGTTTACCCTTAATGTTATTATTAACAAGTTATATGATACCAATTCGATCTAAGAAAATCATGTAGAATTGTCAGACGTTAATCTTTTAGCCGAATGAATCCTTCCCACAATTGGGATTGATCGGCGACCCCTTCGTTCATCCAGAATTTTGCCTTGGTGGAGGCTGCAAATTTGAAACTTGAAGAGTTTTTTTAGGGGGAAAATACATTAACGTACCATATCAGCTCTCTTAACGGCAGTTAATGACAGTGACCATAATGAAAATGAATTACAAGTTTTAAAAGTTTAGTGATAAGAAAATGAATGTGCCTTAAAAGTTCAATGTCTAGTAGTGTAGTTTACCCTTAATGTTATTATTAACAAGTTATATGATACCAATTCGATCTAAGAAAATCATATAGAATTGTCAGACGTGCATTGAATGGCGACTCCTAGTGTCTATCATCCCCGTATCATAAAGCTGGTAAAGACAAAACAGAATCCAGCCTGCCTGTAGTACTGAGTACTCTATATCTTGAACCTTTCATTGCCTATAAAAAGGCTCAACTTCGTCATCATTTCTATGCACTAGCTTCAACACACTGGTTCTTCAAAGGGGGAAGAAGAAGAAGATGAGTGAAACAAGTAGCGCCAAGGTCTTGGACATGGGCAATGGGAAGCATCAGCAAGCATCAAGGAACGACAAGTATTGTTCCTTTAAGATGCCACTTCATTATCCCAGGTACAACAAAAGTGACTACGAGAACATGCCCGAGTGCCAACTCGACTGCCTGCTTCATCAGTATGGCCTATCTGTCAATGGAGATGTTAAGCAAAAGAGAAAGTATGCAATGGGTGCCTTCCTTTGGCCTTCTTAGCTTGAATAAAAATATTGTTGCCCACTTAACTGATAAAATACTTGGCTTATATATTATATAGTAGCTTTCAGTTGTTATCACTGTTGTATTACATTGTTTACTTTAATATAATGTTTAATTATCAGTAAGTACCAGTTTAATATAATGTTGTGTTACAAAAATTGTTAAGCCTTGTGTTAAAGATCGAACAAGAGACATTTTTGACATTTAACACAAGGATTAAGGCGTATATTTCTCATTATGAGGTTTGACATTAAATATGTAAGTTGTATCTTACCTCTTATACACTGCAGGTAGTGACTAACACAGTTGCGATTAAAGAAATCACTGTAAATAATAAATATAAAATGTTTGTTTACGTCATTCAGATCATTCTATGTGAAGTCTTGTTTATAGGGTAATTCATTATAAATAACGTTTTAAGCTTAAACTCGATATAAGTTTGTTGCATTTGTCTTTTGATACAATTACATATATCTTTCCTAATGTATATTCAGGGTCTACTTGTTTCGCTGAAAACAATGTCGAATAAAATATATCATTTAAGTTTAAACAAATTTATGTTTTACTCATTTCCCCGCGGTTGCAAGAGCAAACAAGTACAAAACAATGCCGATAACAGTTACAGCTTTCTGTAACTGTGTCAATATGAGCATAAGAAGAAGAAGAAAAACTCGCGCAAGACTGCTTCAAATATGCAGATAGAGCTTGACGATGATGCACATGAATGTTTCATAACACCCCCAGTTGTTTGATGGGTCCAATGTCAGAGACGAAACATGTGGTGTTGAAGCAGCCAATCATTGTCGTAACCGGTTTTCGTCCGGGCACGAAATATTAAATTTGGCGGGGAAATTGATGTGAATAAATAATTTTTAAAATAATTTGTGAGTCGCCATCGACCTTTTGGATCAGGTAGGTCAAATACCTAAAAATTATTTTTTTTTAAAAGAGTTTTAAAGAAAACACTAATAAAAAATGAACTGATCTGCGTTTATAACCAAAAATTCATTCTTTTTAATAATAAAAAGGGATTCGTGGTCGGTTACGTTTAGGGAAGGATTAGCACCCCTACAACGCCCAAAATTGGTACTTTTTAATTATAAATTGTCTCTATTATTAAAATTTTAAAAATTCAAAAATATATTTAATTTATAATTCTATTATTTCAAAATTATAAAAAATATTTATTTATTTAAAAATATCCAAAAAGAACTTCTAGGTGCCTTAAGACAGCTCTTTTCTTTGATATTGAGAAATATTAATTTAAATAATATTGTTTACTTTTTAATTTTTTAAAATATAAGAATAGGACATCCAGTTGTATTAAGACTGTCCTTTTCTTCGATATTAAAAATAAATATTTAAAAATTATTATTTATTATATATATTTATGAATATATAAAAATATTTAACCATATAATATAAAAATATCACTAAAACAATGTATTTTAAGCAGTAAAATGAAAACATATAAATAACTAAATTATAATAAAAATAAAATTAAATCTAATTCCTAATTAATCAAAATTATAGGGATTAAATATGTTATTTCTTTATTTAATAATTTAGTGACTAAAATAAAATGATCTAAAATTCGGATATAATAATAAAATAAATTAAAAATATAAACTAAGAATTAAAATATTATTTATTAAAATTAATGGATTAAATCTGTAATTTATCCTAAACATATTATTTTAATAAAAAGGACTAAAATAAATAAAATTAAAATTCAAAGACTGAATTAAAATTATTATAAATTCAGTTTAGTGACCAAAATGTAAAATTTACAAATACGAAGGACTGCGGACGGGGTTTAACTATTTCATAATTACGCGCATAGTCCTTCCCGAAACGACGTCGTTCGGGAAGGACTATAAGAGTCCAAATCGGCTGGCCCGAAGGGCCAGCCATTTCATTTCTTCCTTTTTTTTTTCTTTTTCTTAAACAGAGAGAGAGAGAGAGAGAATTCTCTCTGGCCTCTCTCTAGATTCCCTCACCGGAGGGAATCCGGCAGCCGTCTGCCGCCGTGAGTTTTGCCGCCGACCACCGCCGCCGGTCACCGTATTCGGTGGCCGGAAAAATATTTTTTATCCTAAATGTAGATCGGACCGTCCTAATGACGGTTCCGATGTTTTTTTCCGTTAAACGGCTCCTAATCGGAGCAAATCTACAATAATACCTTCGGCTTTTCGAAGTTTTGGTGAGATCCGGTGACGGTTGGGGCTCTCTGTTGACAGGGTAAGCTTTTTCCTCTCTTCTCTCTTTTTTCCTTGCTGCGTTGATGCTGACTGAGATCGTTGGTTTAGTTGTTGTTATTTTTTTTTCCTTTCTCTGTGTTTTTTTTCTTCTCCGTTTTCTGTTTCTGTCTCTGGTTTCTGTCCCCCGGTTTTTTTTTTTTTTCGCAGATGGGGTGGTGGCTTTTATAGCCACCACCGGTGTTCGTCTCAGACCGGTCCGAAGAGGGGGCCTTGGTGAGTCACCGGACTACCAGTGGTGACTCACCCCGTAGCCTTGCATGGACGGCTGGTATATGATTTTCTGGAGCCTTCATTCGGGACGTGGCAGCGGCGGAGGCGGTGAGGGCTTCTGGAAGCAGCAGCGGCGGCGCTGGGACGTGTACCCTAGGGTTTCCTCTGGCAAATGGTGGACCGTTGGATCAAAACAGATCCAACGGTTGAGATTGAAGATGGCGGCTGGCTAGATTAGGGTTAGGAAACCCTAATTGGAAACCCAAATATTTAGGGTTTCTGGTTGGATTTGGACCGGTTCTGGTTGGTTTGTAACTGGGCCGGTCCAATTGTAATTGGGCTGTAATTTATTATTTATTTAATATATATTTAATAATAATAATAATAATGATAATAATAATAATAATAATAATGATAATAATAATAATGATAATAATAATAATAATAATAATGATAATAATAATAATAATAATAATAATAATGATAATAATATTAATAATAATAAGGATAATAATAATATGGATAAAAAAAAAATTTAGTATCTTCAGCTGCCCCTCTTTGCTCATTCTTGTGTTAACAAGAATAGGGCAAAGATGAAAAGATAATAAAATTTTTTATCCATTTGACTTTACTTTGATCATAATGGAGATATTGAATAAATTCTTCTTTCTCTCCAAATAAGTTCTTCTTATTATGAACTTTCTGCTGGGGATGATGATGACCTCCTTTTTGTGATAGAGTCATTCAAAAGGTTGAATAAGCTCTTGATGAGTTCTTCTCATTATGAACTTTTTCTTCCTTCTTCAGATGAGTTCTTCTCATTATGAATTTTACCTGGCAATGTTGATCCATCAAATGATGAATTCAAGCAAAAGGTTGAACAAATTCTTCTCATTATGAACTTCTTCTTCCTTCTTCAGATGAGTTCTTCTCATTATGAACCTTCTCTGGCAAAAATAATCCATCAAGTGATGAATTCAGGTAAAAGGTTGAACAAATTCTTCTCATTATGAATTTCTTCTTCCTTCTTCAGATGAGTTCTTCTCATTATGAACTTTTTCTGGAAAAGATGATCCACCAAATGATGGATTCAGGTAAAAGGTTGAACAAATTCTTCTCATTATGAACTTCTTCTTCCTTCTTCAGATGAGTTCTTCTCATTACGAACTCGAACTGGAAAAGATGATCCACCTAATGATGGATTTAGGTAAAAGGTTGAACAAATTCTTCTCATTATGAACTTCTTCTTCCTTCTTCAGATGAGTTCTTCTCATTACGAACTCGAACTGGAAAAGATGATCCACCTAATGATGGATTCAGGTAAAAGGTTGAACAAATTCTTCTCATTACGAACTTCTTCTTCCTTCTTCAGATGAGTTCTTCTCATTATGAACTCGAACTGGAAAAACTGATCCACCAGATGATGGATTTGAGCAAAAGGTTGAACAAATTCTTCTCATTATGAATTTTTCTTCCTTCTTCAGATGAGTTCTTCTCATTATGAACTCGAACTAGTACTGTTGATCCATTGAATGATGGATTTAAATCTTTGCTAAAATCTTTGAAATTTCTGTTAAAAATTTAACAAGAATAAAAATGAATGAAAATGCATCTATTTTTGCAAATGCCTAAATATGATGCATGAATATTAAGTTGTTTGATTTCAGACTGGTGAATTGAGTATTTCTTCAATTGTAAAAACTCAATATATCTGTCTTCTTCAAATCAGAGAATCTAGCATCTTTGACAAATGTAGATGTAGATATAACGTCACAAAACCTCTTGAGAATAAAACTCAATAGTATAGGCTCTTGAAAAGCTTGCATTCAGGCAACATGTTGATTCTGATAACAACTCATCTGATTATGAAGTGACCTTTCAAGATGATTTCACAGATATCGATAGTTCTTCTAATACCGAGAAATCTTGAATTATGATTCTGATGAGGAGAATAACTGTTATACTTGACAAAAATGTGATTCTCAGAAGCTGAAACTTCAATAGCCCTGGAGAAATGTGGTCCAGATTCATCAATTGCAGAATTGGCAAATTTTATATGTGCTGTTCAAATGACTAAAAATGCTGACGTACTTCTTCCGGTAAAAGATGGGAAGCCATTATGTGATAATCCCAGTTACAAGCAAAGACGAAACTTATGCTATGATTTTTGAAAAGGAAGAAGCATAAGAAACTTGAAAATAAGCTTCTTAATGAAGATGATCATGCAGTTCATCTTTCAATTCCAACGATCAGTTCTGGGGTTCCTACTGAATCAGATCAGATAACTCAAAGAACACTTCCAGAAGATGCTATTGACACATTCATCTTCCAAATTCAATGATCGTTCTGTCCAACCAGATCAGATAACTCAAAGAACACTTCCAGAAGATGCTATTGACATTCATCTTCTAAACTCACTGCTTGATTCTGTTCAACCAGATCAGATAACTCAAAGAACACTTCCAGAAGATGTTATGGACATTCATCTTCTAAACTCACTGATTGATTCTGTTCAACCAGATCAGATAACTCAAAGAACACTTCCAGAAGATGCTATGGACATTCATCTTCTAAATTCACTGATTGATTCTGTTCAACCAGATCAGATAACTCAAAGAACACTTCCAGAAGATGCTATGGACATTCATCTTCTAAACTCACTGATTGATTCTGTTCAACCAGATCAGATAACTCAAAGAACACTTCCAGAAGATGCTATGGACATTCATCTTCTAAACTCACTGATTGATTCTGTTCAACCAGATCAGATAACTCAAAGAACACTTCCAGAAGATGCTATGGACATTCATCTTCTAAATTCACTGATTGATTCTGTTCAACCAGATCAGATAACTCAAAGAACACTTCCAGAAGATGCTATGGACATTCATCTTCTAAATTCACTGATTGATTCTGTTCAACCAGATCAGATAACTCAAAGAACACTTCCAGAAGATGCTTGGTTCTGTCTAATCAGATCAGATAACTCAAAGAACACTTCCAGTAGATGCTATTGAGCCCATATAAAAGGTTGGATTGTTTATAAACATGTACAGGAAGTGCCAAATTGACAGAAAGGATCTGTAAGGCTCTTGAAGCTTATGACAATGAGACACCTTCGATTGTCCAGAAGTATGTTCTTAATGAGTACTGAAAATGGAATCTAGTATGGGTTGGAAGGAATAAAGTTACTCCACTTGAACCTGATGAAGTGGAAATGCTTCTAGATTTCCTTAAAGACCATACACAAGGATCTGTATAGAAACGTATTTCCCAGTGATATCAATGTCTTGTTTCCTTTTGTTGGAATTAGTGCTGCAAAGATCACCTTCTATTGTCTTGGTATTTTTGAAAACAGATGTGTAAGAACTGAATGGTGATCGGTTGGAGCAATTTGATGAGTAGATTTGGCGGATTCGACCTCGTTGTTGGTAGCATGCCGTGTAACAATCTTGATGTTCATGGCTTTTAAGATGGTGATGATTTGCTTACTTTGTATTCTATGTATTCAAAAGTATTAATCATAAAATGATATTCAGAAATCTTTAAATTATTTCAAAATTATGTTAAGTCAATAGAAAAGAATAAATTGAATTTCCAAAAATAAATTGAATCTCAAATAAATTGAACTTGAAATAGATAGAATTGTATTCAAAGTTATGGCAAGCATAAGAATAATAAAAATTCAAATGTCTCAACAAATTATAAGCATAAGTATTTCTAAATTAATCAAGTTGACACAATTTAGAGTAATGATGTAAGCTTTTGTCTGGAAGATCTCAAACGTTGTTAAAATGCTTGTAGATGTGAAGTTTCTTCCAAACTATCAAAATCTTAAGAGAGTTCGATTGCCAGATGCCTAATATCAACCTGCATTTGAGCCGCCTTTTCAGGTTTTCAACTCAAATCCTTCCTTTGATTACAAGATGCCCTTTTCGGGTTTTCACCTTGACCCCCTTTTCTTTTTTCCCTCTTTTTTTTTCTTTTTTTTCTTTTTTTTTCTTTTTTTTTTCTTTTTTTTTCTTCAAGCATAATATTTCTTGACAGAATCTGAGTTTATTGGATTTTTCAGAATTTTTCCATCAATTTCTGCCAAGATCAACGCTCCTCCGGAAAAGGCCTTTTTCACAACGTATGGCCCTTCCCAATTAGGCATCCATTTCCCACGGAAATCTTTATGTATAGGCAAGATCTTTTTTAGTACTAGATCATCCTCTTGGAATTCTCTTGGATGTACTTTCTTATCATGAGACTTCATCATCCGTTTTTGATACATCTGTCCATGGCAAATAGCTTTCAATCTTTTCTCTTCAATAAGGTTCAATTGATCAAATCTAGCTTGGATCCATTCAGATTCATCCAATTTTATTTCTCTCAATATTCGGAGCGATGGAATCTCAACTTCAATTGGTAAGACTGCTTCCATTCCGTAGAATAGAGAAAACGGCGTTGCCCCAGTAGATGTTCGAACAGTAGTTCGGTATGCATATAGAGCAAAAGATAACTTCTCGTGCCAATCTTTGTAAGTTTCAGTGGTCTTTGTAATGATTCTCTTGATGTTCTTATTTGCTGCTTCAACTGCCCCATTCATCTTTGGACGATAGGCCACTGAATTTGCATGTTTGATCTTAAACTGTGCACAAAGTTCAGTCATCATTTTGTTGTTCAGGTTTAGGGCATTATCTGTAATGATCCTCTCTGGTAGACCATATCGACAAACTATCTCTTTCTTTATGAACTTGCAGACTGTGGATCTCTTAATATTGGTATATGAAGCAGCTTCAACCCATTTGGTAAAATAATCAATTGCCACAAGGATGAAGCAATGTCCATTCGATGCTTTTGGTGTGATTGCCCCAATGACATCTATTCCCCACATAGAAAATGGCCAGGGTGCTGTCATTACATGTAAAGGAGATGGGGGTACATGAATCTTGTCTGCATATATCTGGCATTTATGACATTTTCTTGCGTAATCAATGCAATCTGTGTACATGGTAGCCCAATAGTATCCATATCTCATTATTTTTCTGGCCATAGAAAGACCATTTGCATGTGTTCCACATATTCCACTGTGTACTTCTTTAATGACATTTCGAGCTTCGCTGGTATTTAAACATCTCAATAGCATTTGATCATTGCTTCTTCTATATATAATCTCTCCATCAAGAAAATATCCAGCAGCCATTCTTCTCAAGGTTCTTTTATCAATTTCCGATGCATTTGGTGGATAACTTTGATTTTTGATATATTGCAGGATATCATGATACCATGGTTTACCATCTACCTCTTCTTCCACACTATAACAATGTGCATGAATTTCATACACTTGCATTTTGATTGGCATCATATCAACTTTCTGAGTTGCCTGAAACATAGCAGCTAATGTAGCCAAAGCATCTGCCATTTGATTTTCTTCTCGAGGGAGATAATCGAAGGTAACCCTCTCAAATTCTTTCAATAATTCGAGGGTAAAATTTCGATATTCCAATAATTTGGGATCTTTTGTTTCCCATTCTCCTCGCAATTGATACACCACTAAAGATGAATCTCCATATATTTTGAGAAATTTGATTTTTCTTTCTATAGCTGCTTTCAATCCCATGACACAAGCTTCATATTCCGCCATGTTATTGGTGCAAAAGAACTCCAGTCTACTTGTAAAGGGATAATAAACACTTTCTGGAGAAATCAACACTGCCCCGATTCCTCGTCCCAAAGCATTAGATGCTCCATCAAAATAAAGCTTCCAAGTTGCAAATTCATCATTTGTTCTGACTTCTTCATTCATGGATATGCACAACAAATCTTCATCGGGAAAATTGAAGTTCAAAGGCTGATAATCATTTGATACACGACTGGCCAGAAAATCAGCTATGACACTTCCTTTTATCGCTTTTTGGTTGACATATACAATATCAAACTCAGATAATAACATCTGCCATCTAGCCATTCTGCCTGTCAAAGCTGGTGATTCCATTAAGAATTTCAAAGGATCAAGTTTGGATATCAACCAAGTAGTATGGTATAACATATATTGTCTGAGTCTTCGAGTAGCCCACACCAAAGCACAACATAATTTTTGTATTGGTGGATATCGAACTTCACAATCAGTAAATTTCTTGCTCAGATAATAAATAGCTTTTTCTTTCCTTCCTGATTCATCATGCTGTCCTAGTACACATCCCATCGAATTTTCGAAGACCGTCAAGTAGAGAATTAATGGTCTATCAGGCATTGGTGATACTAAAATTGGGGCATTGGATAAATATTTCTTAATAATATCCAAAGTTTCTTGACATTCTTCATTCCAGACTTCAGGATTGTTCTTTCGAAGTAATTTGAACACTGGATCACATTTGTCAGTTAATTGAGAAATGAACCGAGATATATAATTTAATCTCCCCAAAAAGCCTCGAACTTCTTTTTTTGTATTGGGTGGTGGAAGATCTTGAATTGCTTTGACTTTATCTGGATCAATCTCGATTCCTTTTTTGCTGACCACAAATCCCAAAAGTTTCCCAGAAGTTACCCCAAAAGTGCATTTTGCGGGGTTGAGCTTTAATTGATATTTCCTCAATCTCTGGAAAAGCTTCCTCAGATTTTGAATATGTTCTTCTTCCGTTCTGGATTTGGCAATCATGTCATCTACATATACTTCAATCTCTTTATGCATCATGTCATGAAACAAAGTTACCATGGCTCTTTGATATGTTGCCCCTGCATTTTTCAATCCAAATGGCATCACTTTATAACAGAATGTGCCCCACATGGTTATAAATGTTGTTTTCTCCATGTCTTCAGGATTCATTTTTATCTGATTATATCCTGAAAATCCATCCATAAATGAAAACCATGCATGTCCTGCAGTATTGTCCACCAATGTGTCTATGTGGGGTAATGGAAAACTATCTTTTGGACTAGCTTTGTTGAGATCTCTGTAATCCACACACATTCGAACTTTTCCATTCTTCTTTGGTACGGGAACAATGTTGGCTACCCATTCTGGGTATTTAGATGCTTGTAGGAAACCTGCATTGATTTGTTTCATTACTTCTTCTTTGATTTGCAACAACATTTCTGGCCTCATTCTTCTGAGCTTTTGTTGAACCGGTTTATATTCTGGATTGATTGGAAGCTTGTGTATCACTATATCTGTGCTCAAACCAGGCATATCTTGATAGGACCAGGCAAATATATCTTTGAACTCTTGAAGGAGATTTATCAATTCTTGTTTTATCTGGACTGTCAGAGTGGTACCAATTTTCACCTCTTTTATTTCTTCATCTGTTCCCAAATTCACAGTCTCAACCTCTTCTTTGTGTGGTAGAATTTGTTTGTCCTCTTTTTCTACCAATCTTAATAATTCAGTAGGAACATCACATTCCAGTTCATCTTCACAACCATTGATTTCTTCCAGACATATAGGCTGCTCTAAATTTATCACTGGATTAAATCTAGGAATAAACATGCTATTAACACTGTGACACCTGCAAATTTAAGTCGGACATATTTCCGAAAGAATATAGTAAATTTATGAAATAAATGTAAAAATGTAAAGAAAATGTAAAGAATGATTGCCATCTGAAAATTTTAAAGAAAGTTCCTTATATTTAACATAATTTCTTTTACAAGATAACAAAAAGTTTTCATATTTTTGAGCTAAACATAAAGATTAGTTCTGAATATTACTCTGTATTAATATTAAAAACTATGGGAAGATCTTCAGCGGTCCAATTGATGAGTGTTTCTCCAGGAAGACATGGGCGAATCCTATCCAAATACTTGCCAGTCTTGTTGTCATTCATGATCATGTTGACAAATAATCCATTCATAGCTTCTTCAACTATGGCTTGATCTTTCGTCAACTTTTCTTCTTTAAAGGCTTCAACAAGCTGCTGTTCCACATTAATTGTTCCCCCTGATCTGAATGTGGTCTTCAACTGTGGGAAAGACATGTGTTTCCAAAGGATTTCTCCCCCTTTCAATTTTGTCTTTCTGTCTTCACATCTTCTTTTCATCTCTTTGTTCTTTTGCTGAAAATTGGGCTTAAACCCTAGCCCAAAACGGTCTTTTTTCATCTTTATACTGATAGGAACTGAAATCCCTTGAAGATTCTTTCCTAGACCTCTCCCAGCTTTAGCTCCGATGCCTAAAGTTTGTTGTACCGTCATCTTGGTACAATCAGACAATCTGGGATATGGGATTTTGCTTCCTTCTGGAGTAAAGGTTGCATTTACAAATTCAAGAGCTCGGAAAGAGCATTCAAGAGCCTCATCATTGGTGTCGATATATGGAACATCGCTTGTTACAGACGCAATGATTTCTTCTTCAGCACTGACGCATATTAATTGTCCATCCACAACAAATTTCAATTTTTGATGTAATGAAGAAGGAACGGCTCCTGCTGAATGAATCCATGGCCTCCCTAATAGACAATTATATGTGGGGTGGATGTCCATTACCACAAAGTCAATATTGTACACGACTGGGCCAATTAACAAAGGTATTTCCATTTTCCCAAGCACTTCTTTTTGAGTACCATCAAATGCTCGTACCACATTCTGATAACTCTTCATGTGTGATTGATCCAGAGGCATTCTTTGAAGTGTAACTAGAGGCATCAAATTGAGAGCGGATCCATTGTCAATCAATACTCCTGGCAACACATGACCATGACAATGTGTCGTGATGTTCAAAGCTTTTACTGACCCCATTCCACCTTCTGGTATTTCATCATCTGTGAAAGTTATGTAATTGTCAGCGGCTATATGTCCCACAATTCTGTCAAGTTTATTGAGGGATATATCTTCGGGGATAAATGTTTGATTGAGGATTTTCATCAAAGCATTTCTATGTGCTTCTGAATTCATCAAGAGATCAAGAATAGAAATTCTCGCTTGTTGTTTGTGTAGTTGTTCAACCACACTATACTCACTATGTTTCAGGAATTTCAAAAATTCTTGAGCTTGTTTTTCTGTCACAGGCTCATTGAATGCTGGAAGGGATTCATCTTCAAATACCTTCTGAGGTATTGCCATGGCTTTTCCTTTTGCTTTCACTTGTTCTGAAGCATTGGATGTCTCAGGAGAATAACATCTCCCACTTCTTGTAAAGAAACCGACCTCGCTCACTGCTTCAGACGTCGATGTGGTACCCAAACTCTGTATTTTCTCTTCTGTTTTATCTATAGAAACAGATCCTCCTACCATTGAAACATTGGTAGTATAATTCCAAGGTACCCTGCGGGTATCTTTGTATGGAAATGGTAGAGGAGTGGTAATAACTACTTTTGGCTTTATTGGTGCAGGAATCACCGTGGATGATTTCACATTAATGATCACAGGATCATTTATTCTTTGACTTGGTTTAGAATCCTCTGATGAACAAATATCATTTTCTTTTTTTCCGGGTTCTTCTTCAAAGAATTCTATTTCTCTGTTGTTCATCAATTTCTGCACCAAATCCCTAAACTCAGGACATAGTTGAATTTTATGCCCCTTCTCCTGATGATATTCACAATAATTCTTGCCTTCATTCTGCTTTGGCCTGAATTGTTGTGGAATTATACCGGCTAAAGATAGTTGTTGGAATACCCAAACAAACGGAGATTTTATTTCAGAAATGTCAGTTTTTGCTTTCTTTCTGTTCTCTTCCTGAATTGCATTCACGTTTTTATCTCCATGATTTGGCAATGGATGATTTGATGCAGATGGTGTATTGAATTCCAGCTTCCCAGTGTTGATCAAATTTTGAACCACCCTTTTGAATGCTAAACAGTTTTCAATGGAATGACCCGTAATTCCTTCATGGTAAACACAGTGTGCCTTTGTATCATACCAAGGAGGGAATGGTGGTTGCATGGGAACCAAGGGATAAGGCCGTATAACATCTGCTTTTAACAGTGAATCATAGATCTCAGCATATGGTACGGGTAAAGGTGTAAAAGACAACCTTTCATTTTCCTTTCGAGATCCTCTGGAATCTGCTCGATTAGTGTTTGTTTCCTCTTTCTTAACTCTTGGCTGGGTTATTGTAACACTTTTCGATGAATCCTTGCTGTAAGAATTGGCATTGTTGACCTCATTCTCCTTTTTCCGGTATGTAGGTCTTTTGGAACTAGACCCATCATTTGATTCAATCTTGCCACTTTTCAAGACATTTTCAATTAATTCTCCAGAAATGACCAAATCTGCAAAATTTCTGGTTGCATTCCCCATTAAATGGTTTAAATAAGGAGCCTTCAATGTATGGACAAACATCACTGTGGCCTCTTTTTCTGACAAAGGTGGTTGAACTTGGGCCGCAGTGTCACGCCATCTCTGGGCATACTGTCTGAATGTTTCATTATTCTTTTTCTCCAAATTTTGGAGAGTCCATCTATCAGGGACCATGTCTGTCACATGGCGGTACTGCTCTAAAAATGCTTTAGCCAAATCTTTCCAAGATCTAATGTTGGCTTTGGTCAATTGAGTATACCATTTTAAAGCCGGTCCTGTCAAACTATCCTGGAAGCAGTGAATTAACAATTTTTCGTCTTTCACATACCCTGCCATTCTTCGACAAAACATAGTAATGTGGGATGAAGGGCATGTAGTACCATTATATTTATCAAATTCGGGAGCTTTAAACTTGATAGGGAGGATTAGGTCTGGAACCAAACTCAACTCACTAGCATCAAACCCATAGAATGATTCAGTTATTTCTACAGATTTCATTCGTTCTTCTAAGCTCTTGATCTGTCTGGTCAGTTCTTCATTTGCTTTTTGTTTCTCATTCAGCTCATTCAAATCCGGGATCAAATGATCAGTATTAAGATCCCCTATTTTCACATCTGATATAAGCGGATTTTTGCTTGAAGATGCAGGATCCACTTGTTGATCTTCATGTGGTTTGACTTCTTGTAATGCAGATGTACGAGCATTGATTTGTATAGGTGTAGTACCAGAATGATAAATTGGTTCTGGTGGAAAACCTAGAGGATACATAGGATCTTGGTCAAAAGATACAGGATTTTCATGCATTTTTCCACTGATAGCCTGCCTTTTAAACATGTCCTCTATCTTCTTCATCATACTGTCTTGTGAACTTGCAATACTGGCTTCAATTTTTTCCAGCTTCATTCTCATTTCCTCTTGTTCTTTATGATGTTGTTCCTCAATACGCTGTATTTTATCCTCCATAATTCTCTTAGTAGATTGTCTAGTACCGTAGTGATGTAGTATTTCTCTTTTGGCCAGAGTAACTGCGATTGAAAAATCTTTTAATATTATTTTTTCAAATTTTAATTAATGAATTTTAACTTAATAAAAATAATAATAATTCATAGCGAAAATTAATGAAATGAATGATGAATGTATGCAAAATGCATGTATGTAAAAACATTGATCCCAAAAAGTTAACTGTCATAGAACAACTTTCATCGGCATACAAAAGTTTCTTTATAATAGTTCAGAACTACAGATAAGGCATAGCTTTCCTATTAAGCTCTATAATTTCTTTCATTAACCATGACACCTTCTTTCCACATCTAGAAACTGGATCAACTTGATGCTCAATTATTTTGGCTTCGACAGCTAGTTCCCCAACATATCTGGCAACTTCGCTCATTTGAACCATGGCCTCGAACACCATATTGCTTCTTTCTTCACTTCTTTCGACATAGAACTCAGTTGACTTTTGCCATTGTTCATTTGTTCCTTCAAGAGTCTGCTCTAACTCAGTGATCCTGACTTGACAATTGTGCAGAATTTTTTCAAGATCTCTAATGCGTCTTCGCAGTGAAGCATTTTCTTCATTACTTTCTTTGAGGTCATTAGGTCCTAGACGAACCTTTTCTTGAAACAATGATTCCTCAAGTTGCAAAATGTAAGCATTAAACTCTGAATTTTTGTTTCTAGACTGATCCAGATCTTCTTCCAGTTTTGTTCGTGCTTCTTGCGTTCTTTGATTAAGCTTCTGGATCTGAACATCTTTGTTTCTGCATCTTTGCATCCAATTGTTAGCCACTTCTTGTTCTACCTCAAGTCTGGTGTTGAAATTTTTTCTTTCTAATTCCCATTTTTCTTTTTCAATATTGGATTCTTCCATCTTTTGGTCTCTGACTTCAAGCTCAGCAATCAACTGGTTCATTTCAGATTCAAATCCCTTGAACATGATACTTTTTTCGCTTTCAAATTTAACAAAGATGTCATTCTTCATCTCTTCTAAATCTTTGGCTTGATCTCTTTCTCTTTGCATTTCATTCATGATCTCACGGTGCTCAGCCTTGTGTTTTATAATTCGCTCTCTTCTGTCGACCTCAAAATCTTCCATTTTTTGCTTTCCTTTTTCCAGGCTTTTGAGTAGACGGCTATTCTTTCCTTTCAGATCTTCAACTCGTCTTTTTTCCATGTTCAATTCTCTGGTCATCTGTACCGTCGATTGGCTGGGTCCTGATGCTTTTCGGGATTTATATAACTCCTGATAATCTTTCTGTAAGGCTCTGTACTCATCCTCACCTTTTTCTTTATCTTTTCTCAACATTGCACATTGTGATGAATGAAAGTCAATGTCAACCCCCAACATAGCTTTATCTTGTCTCATTTGCTCTAATTCTTTCGACCAGTCTTCTCTTTCTGTTTCAAACTCAGCTCTCAGAATTTCAATCTCTGATGGAACCACCTTGATGCGATCATCCATAGAAATATCCTCATTTTGATCTGGTAGAGGAATATTTTCATTTTTCCTGACAGATCTCCATTCTTCATAATCAGGAGTTAACATTTCTTTTGCTGCTTTAGCTCGGATGCAAAAAGTTGTTTTCCAAGCTGTAACGGCTTCCATGATGTTTCTTTTATAATTTTTGCTGTGGAATGCAAACTCAGATGACTGTAGTCCAGCAGTGACAGGTACAAATTGACGACCTTCATACTGTCTTATAACCAGAAGTGGTGCATATCCAATTCCTCCCCATAATCCAAGCAACATTATCCAGTTGTAATCACCACATTTGTAAAAGAATTCCCTTTGGATTTGCCACGGGACGCGCCAAACAACGTCATTGCTTTGCAGATTTCGAAAGGCATTAATCCACATATCTTTCTTAATTTCTTTCGGCCATTCCTGCTCTAGAAATTCTTTTAATGGTGAGTAATCCGTATTAAAGCGTCGGTATGAAACCTTTTCTGTCCTCCAGAAATGACTACGGATCCAAACATATAACAACTGGGTACACCCTGAGAATCGTCCACCTCCTATCCTTCTGCAAGCATTTAACGATCTGAAGGTCTCTGCTAGGATGGCAGAAACAGGATTAATCTTTTTCGATAGCTGTTCAAACAAGTCTACCACTGCAGCTTCAACATATCCCAATACCTTTGGGAAGATGACCATACCATATATACCCAGAGCAAATAGATCGAATCGTACTTTAATATCTGGATGGCTCTGAATAAGTTCTCTGATGTTGGTCCAAGCAATGCCTTCGCTTTCGCCTTTTTGTTTTGTACGGGATGCTACCCATTCTTCTCGTACTCCGGCAATTTTTTCTAATTTAACTCGGAAGGGTTGAGTTTTAATTGACTTTGAATAGATTCGATTCTCCAAAGCCCCTTCGATATGTAACAAAATTGTGTATTCTTCAATAGTAGGGACCAAATCCTCCTTATTGAAAGTGAAGCAATTGTACCCTGGATTCCAGAATTGAACTAGGGCTCGGAGTAATTCATCATCAACTTCTACATAGAGCAGATATGGGATGTCTCCATAAGTCTGATAAAACTGCAATTTTTTGTTTGAATCCCAACTTTCCCAAATGCTTCGCAAATCTTGCATATCATTTCTTTTTAATGAAACTGGAGCATAACTGGCCAAGTCAGATACATAATCATCCTGCAGGCTGTCTCCTTCTTGTCTTTGTAAGTCTTCAGCCCACTGCCTTACTTCTGAGTTTAGAATTACTTGACTTGAACACTTTTTATCCATAGATGAAGGCTTTCCAATGAGACAATTAACACAAGGATCAATGTCTTTTATCCTGTATGATGCAATGCAAACAGAAAAATAAAGAACACACAAAAAGAAAATAAATTAGTTTACATAATAAAGAAATTTAATAATAATATTTACATAAATATTCTTTATTTAAACATGCTTTTCTGAATTTAAATAATTTAAATAAACATGTAATTTAAACAATAAATAAATTAACAGAAAAGACAGAATTCATTTCTCCTGTGTGTACACCTATTTTGGACAAAATTTCGGCATGACTTCGAATTGGAAGAGTTTCTAAGGTTTTTTTTATATGCAAGGTTTCAGATCTAGGAGTAAAAGGTACCCGAATTGTCCTTGTTAATGCCCCCTTGGGTTGCTAACCCTCAATCCTAGTCCATTACAGACTAAATTGGATCGAGTTCAATTCGAGGGGATACATTTCTCTATGCATGACACGGAGAATAAATTCTCACGAAGACATAGAGCATATGAACCCAGAAAGTTACTTGCTAGGTCTGACACGGAGAATAAATTCTCACGAAGACGTTGCTTTCACTCTCACTTAAAAAGGACAACTCAATTATAGAGCTTTATGTAATGCAATGCAAGTGTTGTGTGTGAGGAGAAATGTTCAAACCTTAGACAGAAAAAATAAATACTGAAATAAAATACTTGCAAATAAAATAAAACATATAAATATTATAAAAATAATAAATAAATAAAAATTTGAAAAGAAAGAATTAAAAATTAAATATATAAATTTTTAATTAATAGAGACAATTTATAATTGATTTTTTTTTTTAAAGTTTGACCAGGCTCCCCAGCAGAGTCGCCAAGCTGTCGTAACCGGTTTTCGTCCGGGCACGAAATATTAAATTTGGCGGGGAAATTGATGTGAATAAATAATTTTTAAAATAATTTGTGAGTCGCCATCGACCTTTTGGATCAGGTAGGTCAAATACCTAAAAATTATTTTTTTTTAAAAGAGTTTTAAAGAAAACACTAATAAAAAATGAACTGATCTGCGTTTATAACCAAAAATTCATTCTTTTTAATAATAAAAAGGGATTCGTGGTCGGTTACGTTTAGGGAAGGATTAGCACCCCTACAACGCCCAAAATTGGTACTTTTTAATTATAAATTGTCTCTATTATTAAAATTTTAAAAATTCAAAAATATATTTAATTTATAATTCTATTATTTCAAAATTATAAAAAATATTTATTTATTTAAAAATATCCAAAAAGAACTTCTAGGTGCCTTAAGACAGCTCTTTTCTTTGATATTGAGAAATATTAATTTAAATAATATTGTTTACTTTTTAATTTTTTAAAATATAAGAATAGGACATCCAGTTGTATTAAGACTGTCCTTTTCTTCGATATTAAAAATAAATATTTAAAAATTATTATTTATTATATATATTTATGAATATAAAAATATTTAACCATATAATATAAAAATATCACTAAAACAATGTATTTTAAGCAGTAAAATGAAAACATATAAATAACTAAATTATAATAAAAATAAAATTAAATCTAATTCCTAATTAATCAAAATTATAGGGATTAAATATGTTATTTCTTTATTTAATAATTTAGTGACTAAAATAAAATGATCTAAAATTCGGATATAATAATAAAATAAATTAAAAATATAAACTAAGAATTAAAATATTATTTATTAAAATTAATGGATTAAATCTGTAATTTATCCTAAACATATTATTTTAATAAAAAGGACTAAAATAAATAAAATTAAAATTCAAAGACTGAATTAAAATTATTATAAATTCAGTTTAGTGACCAAAATGTAAAATTTACAAATACGAAGGACTGCGGACGGGGTTTAACTATTTCATAATTACGCGCATAGTCCTTCCCGAAACGACGTCGTTCGGGAAGGACTATAAGAGTCCAAATCGGCTGGCCCGAAGGGCCAGCCATTTCATTTCTTCCTTTTTTTTTCTTTTCTTAAGCAGAGAGAGAGAGAGAGAGAATTCTCTCTGGCCTCTCTCTAGATTCCCTCACCGGAGGGAATCCGGCAGCCGTCTGCCGCCGTGAGTTTTGCCGCCGACCACCGCCGCCGGCCACCGTATTCGGTGGCCGGAAAAATATTTTTATCCTAAATGTAGATCGGACCGTCCTAATGACGGTTCCGATGTTTTTTTCCGTTAAACGGCTCCTAATCGGAGCAAATCTACAATAATACCTTCGGCTTTTCGAAGTTTTGGTGAGATCCGGTGACGGTTGGGGCTCTCCGTTGACAGGGTAAGCTTTTTCCTCTCTTCTCTCTTTTTTCCTTGCTGCGTTGATGCTGACTGAGATCGTTGGTTTAGTTGTTGTTATTTTTTTTCCTTTCTCTGTGTTTTTTTTCTTTTCCGTTTTCTGTTTCTGTCTCTGGTTTCTGTCCCCCGATTTTTTTTTTTTTCGCAGATGGGGTGGTGGCTTTTATAGCCACCACCGGTGTTCGTCTCAGACCGGTCCGAAGAGGGGGCCTTGGTGAGTCACCGGACTACCAGTGGTGACTCACCCCGTAGCCTTGCATGGACGGCTGGTATATGATTTTCTGGAGCCTTCATTCGGGACGTGGCAGCGGCGGAGGCGGTGAGGGCTTCTGGAAGCAGCAGCGGCGGCGCTGGGACATGTCCCTAGGGTATAGATACCCTAGGGTTTCCTCTGGCAAATGGTGGACCGTTGGATCAAAACAGATCCAACGGTTGAGATTGAAGATGGCGGCTGGCTAGATTAGGGTTAGGAAACCCTAACTGGAAACCCAAATATTTAGGGTTTCTGGTTGGATTTGGACCGGTTCTGGTTGGTTTGTAACTGGGCCGGTCCAATTGTAATTGGGCTGTAATTTATTATTTATTTAATATATATTTAATAATAATAATAATAATGATAATAATAATAATAATAATGATAATAATAATAATAATAATAATAATGATAATAATAATAATAATAATGATAATAATAATAATAATAATAATAATGATAATAATATTAATAATAATAAGGATAATAATAATATGGATAAAAAAAATTTAGTATACATCAAGTATCTTGTTTTGGATTTCGATAGCTGAAAATCACCAGCAATTGGTAGACCAACATTTACTGGTTGATGAGCTCAAAGTGCTTGTGTTTCGTGAGAACCATAACTAGTGTGAAATCCAAAGTGGATAAGAAGGATCAAAATCCACTTTTAAAACAAAAAAAAAAACTTGATTCAAGTTGCCTGCCATTGGTTTCATAACTTTCATGGTAAATGACAAGTAATTTAGGTACTTAAATTCATAATTTTTCGAATATAAAAGAAACGACCCCAACCCTCTAAGATTTAAAATAGAAAAAAATAAAACAATATTCATTGTGTTCTTAATTAGATGGGATAGTGGAAGATACAAAGTTTAGTCATAGAGAATCTTCACACAAGATAATGATTGTTGGCATTTGCCGGCTTTAACGACCGATTCTAAAGTGCAAACGTCTTAGAAAATTCATCAAACTGCAATTCGGTTATTTAGATAAAATGAAAAAAAAAATCTCAATTTAATTAATCGGTTTTAATAATAAAATTTATTCGATTTATTCAAATTTAATAGTTGAATCAATTTTTCGATTAATGATATATAAAAAAATTATCCAAATTTACTCTGAATATTATATTAGCTACTGATACTAATTTTATGAAAGAGAGAATAAGAAACGTATAAGAAGAAAAAGGTTAGAGAAGTGAAAAGAGAGCACATGGGGAGGACTCAGAACCGAAACAAGCAGTTGGAGCCAACTAATGTCACAGACTGTCGCAAAAGAAAAAGAAAAGGCTGAAGTTGCAGAGGAAAGGAGGGCCAGGAAAAAAGAAGCCATCTCACATGAGGCTGTTAGGGTGACTCAGACTCGGTTACCCCAACATACCCCAAGACCAAAGCTTAGCTTAACCTCTTACTAAACCTCCGAAACATGTGCTGTTCTGTTTCTTGATCATGTCCCAAATTCTATCTTATTCCTATGTTTTGTCTCCCTCTCCTTATAAAATCATCCCCAACCCTTTCTCTCATTTCGTCCTCACATCATCAATTATATTCAAAGCTTTCTCTCTTTGTATGCGAGGCTCTCCTGTGGCATTGCAGGGGTGTCTTTGAAAGGAAGAATAATGGGAGTTTCTTTCGTGGCTGTTTTAACAGCTCTTGCTGTTGTTGCTATGATTGCCTTGCCTGCTGCTGTTCAGGCTCAGCCCTCTGCTCCCGCCCCTGCCCCCACTAGCGACGGTTTGTTCTTTCTCTCTCTGTGTGTTTTCCTTTAAGAGATGGGATTTTGCCATTTGATTTACTGATGGTTTTTGAAACAGGGACGTCTATTGACCAAGGGATTGCGTACGTGCTGATGCTGGTGGCACTGGCGCACACATACCTCATTCACGCTGCTGATCTTTGCTTCACCTTTTGACCCCCACCATCTCAAAATGGGAATGGGATGATGTTGCAGGGGGAGAATGTTGTGTAACCATGGCTGTACCAAAGGGTTAGAATTAGGGAATGATTTGACTTGAGACAAATGATTGTTGTACCTTTTATTCAATGTTTATAATGAACATTTTTATGTTTGCTCTTCTTCTTCTTCCACAATCTTCCATTCGTGTTATCCTTTAAACTTAAATTTACAAGTAGACGAGGCAAACCCTAAAAGGGTAAAATACACTCACATCATTTTATTATTATTTCAATTATAAATCATTCGATTAAAATATTACTACACACGTATTATTTTTTTCGATGTTTTGTTTAATTTGGTATAATAATGAATTTAAATCTTAAAATTTATATATTATATCAATTTGATATTGATTCAAAATAATTTATTAAATTTTGGCAATTTATATTATTTTTTATCAATTTAATTATTTTTTATAATATTTTCAAACTAAAATTTTTTATTAAATCAAAAAAGATATAAAACGTCAACAAGTTAATGTTAAACTATTATTATACTATGAAAGTAATATTAAATTATTATCTTACAAAAAATAGAAAACTAATACATTTCTTAGAGAAGAACAATTAATCTAGGAGAATAATAAAAACTAAATTTATTTTAAATATAAAAATAATTAAATTTATTGAATTATTTTGAATTAGGATCAAATTAATTAAAAAATTATGTTTTAGGGATAAAAACGATTATTATATTAGATTGTGTAATAATTTTCTCAACTAATGACTTATTTGTGATAATATTTTAATTTAGTGATCAACATTCCATGATCTATTTGTAATTGTAACAACCTCAGACCGATCGGGTGACCTGATCCGATCCGAGCTGTCACATTAGGGCCACCATAGCGACCCACAGTAAAAATTCAAGAAAAATTAATTTTTTTGTTAAAACGTGTAAAATCATAAAACAATTCATGAATAAAATACAAGTTCAGAAAACCATTCATATATTACAAATAGAATTAAATCATACAAGTTCCAAACTCAATATATAAAAAAATCAGATGTGACCTACATGCCCTCTAATTACACATTGTATTGTACTATGCAAGCAAAGTCGAAGGAACTCCCAATACTGAAGTTGTTAGCTGCACTGGATCGATTCTTTTAACCTGAAATGGTGAGTAAAGAATGAGCTTTGGGAAGCTCAGTAATACAAAACTACCTAATGATGTTGAATGACATGCAGATAAATGACAAGCATAGAATTTCATTATTGATTCAAGCTTCTACAGGTTTTTGTGATGAGCTGAGGTTCCACTGCTATTTCTTCAAGTAAAAGAAATGAAGCGTACAGTTCAGAGAAAACATTTAGAGGACCAGGTTCAAGAGATTAAAAATAAACGTCTAGTGCGTTCCCTTAAAACCAGAATAAAATGTAATCATAGTTTAAAAATAATAGTAGTTTATTTCGGTAAACATGTTTTTAAAATCAATGTAGTACCCTCCACCCTCCACCGATATGCAGTTTCCCAAAAATGTGAATCTACCTAAAGGAATACCTTGGGGCCCTAGAGTCTACTCAAGAAATATATTGGGGCCTCAAAGCCTACCCAAGGGAAGCACCTTGGGGCTTGAGAGCCTACCCAAGGGAACATCTCGGGGCCTAAAAGCCTACCCAAGGGTCATGTTAGGTCTGTAAGGATTTACCAGCTTGATTAGAGCTAAACCTCCATACTTCAACCTACCCAAATGATGTCCTAATAAAACAATTCAAGTAGCAAGTAGTAGTTCCATGATCCATACATTAGACATATTTCATTTTCCAATAAAACAAGTAACCAATAAATCAATATATCAATCAGTAAAAACAATCGTAAATCAACCAGATATCAATTTATAATTTCAATACAAATAAAACGATCATATAGCACATATGAAACACACTAGAAGACTCAATTATTTCTTAAAGGTAATTGATCGTTATCAAGAAGGGAAACGTAGAATTTTATGTAGATTGATCGATTTTAGATATGTGGATGCTATAAAAAGAATTCGATTACTAACAGATCTAATCAGACATTAAGAAATTGATGCTTCAGGGCCATTTAGGATTTTATGTGCATCAGAAAGGTATTTGATAACCTTACATCAGAATCATTTAAGGTTTAGATATATTTGGAAAAAGTTAGCATTCATATAAATATATCAAGAGGGATTCCATTACTTGGTCTGCTCAGGACATTTTCGACATTTTAATCCCTGAAGAATTCTTGGTAACTTAATCCAATAATAGTAAACGATGATTTAAGATATCCAGGATTCATGTTGAATTATCTGAATTTTAAGTCATATCAGACTAATCAGATCCCTACAGTATAATACACATTAATAATTCAGACCGAGACCCTTCACAATATTCTGTTTTTAATACTAATTGCACTAGATGTACCGATCACCTTCAGAATCATCATAGATCAATTCTCAAAGAAACAAATAAGTATTATGATGGTATTATTTATTTATGTATTGTATCTGTTAGAGTATGCCCAAAGACCAATCATATGATGATTGTAATAATACTTTTATTTACCAATTTTATTGAATAAAGGCATTGCCACTATTATTTTCAGTTATATATATGTGTTTAACATAAACTGGAAGATAATAAAGTCCATATAATGACATAATTTTTATTATTAAAAGATCCCTAGTCAAGTATTATTATGGGCATGGACAATAATAATACGCTTAAGACTAACATGTTATTGATTGATGACAACGAGTTGTCATTGACATAGAGATGTCGGAATTGATACATGATTATATTGTTAGAGAACAATGTATTGGATTGACCCACCATGAGCATATGTCTTGGATTATTATGTGACAGTCATAACATTGCTCATGGTGATGACTATATGTATGATCCTCAGACTTGAGATCAATACTATCCCAACATGTATTGTTGTATATTTTGATGCAGCTAAACAAGCTCCGTAACTGGTTGCTCTATAAAGACTGTTATTGAATATATCTCAATATATGTAGTGGGTGTGTATGATTATGTAACACCCCCAACTAGTATCCGACCCAAATACGAGTCTGAGGTGTCACATTGACTTTTCAAACTTTGACACTTAAAGAAAACAGGGAAATTTAAAACTTTCATTAAAATAAAAGTGGTTTATTTACATGGATTGACCAAAACAACCAAAATCGATCAGAGCATTCATAACTGACACTTTACTTACATGCCAACATACTATACACGACAAAATACATACTTTATCAGTTACTTCTGATCTGATCCGCTAGCAGTGCTGCTGTTCTTGCCACCCTATTTTCGCTCTTCCTGATTCTTGGTACCTACGTGTAAATCACTTACATGCTAAGTCACAGACTTAGTGAGGCATATCATAAAAGTATGTATTCACATGTATAACCATGAATTTATGAACATGCATTTTTACCATGAATCAGGACATTCCAATGGTCATGTATCGATTACACGATAACATATATGATGATAACATATATGATGACAACATGTACATATAACACATACATTCTCATACCAATTTCACTTTAATTTATCTTTGAATTGCCCATGTACATTATTGAGAACAAAGGTATGTGAGTACATAGAGGTTGTGCACTATGCTGTCACTACAACTCGTATAATTCCCTCAAGGGGCACTGAATATTTGTCCCGAAGGACCACTGATTGTTCCGAAGAACCACTATGTCCCGAAGGACCACTGATAATCCCTCGACTCTTGGCATGCCAATTATACCTATAGCTCTCGTATCATATAACATGGTCTTAAATATGAATACATTTCTCATTTTATATCTCTTTCATCACTTTTCATATAAACACATATAATCATTTTCATTAATCCACATACCTGGATTATTTCTCTTGTAATGGCATTCGTTCCCATAATATCATATTGAAGCATAAGGAATTATGCATGAAATCACTATAAAAATAATACATGTATGCATGTACATGAATATTAAATCATGAATTCAACTATCAGAGATAGACTTATCATAAGTCTTATCGCTATACACTTTAACTAGAAAATGCACTCACCTTGGCCTTGCTTGTTTCGACTTGATCCTAATCCTTTGTTTGTTTTGGAACGAAATTATGTTCTTTATCTACATAGTAATACATTGATACTAATTAGTATATTAATTAATATATTCTAAACTATCACTCTTTAGGCTAAAAAGAAAGCTATTTCCAACTTTTAATGAAGTTATGCATTGATGTACTACACCATGTATCGATGCATCCCTTGACAGGTGCATCGATGCACTACCTATGCATCGATACATCAATGGCATTCGATGTTCATTTATTTGAGAGTACATCGGCACACTTTGAAGGTGCATCGATGCACTCAACCCAGAAATGCCATT